CCCACACACATGCCCATACATACATTCACACATACACACACGATATTCCGTACATACATTTCTCGCTGCCTCGGACCAGAAGGCAGAGAGAATGTAAACAAGAAGGAAGACAAAATATGGAATGACAAAATATGAAAATGGCAAACAACAAATTACTTCTAAATATGCTAATACTTTAAAAATAATTCTTTTCGCTGCTTGGCAGCCAATATTTCTACTTAAATTTAATCAAACTATCTACATATACTACTATTATTAATTCCTATTATTAAGACCTATATTACCCACATATATATATTTCTAAAGTTTTTGAGCCACTTATACTTGATAATGCCCTACTCCCCTCCCCCGATTAGTGGACTGCTGACGGGGCTGAGGGTTTGTTTACACTTGGAATGAATGAGCCGGCTGAGACGCTGGCAGAGGAGATTCCCGCTGCCGAAAGTGGAGTATGCGCTGACTATGGCTGCCAAACTGTGGTCAGCAGGCAGCTGCATACAATAGAGTTAAGTAGAATAGGAGCCCCAATAAATTGTTCATAATGCTGAGCATAGTATTGTATAACAATAAAATCCTTCTTAACGTGACGTAGACTGTCCGCCTCTTTTCGTCTATTGCTATTTGTCATTGTCTTTGTCTTTGTCATTGTATCGTGTCACTCTCTCCCTCCCTCCCTCACGCTTTCTATTTAAATTGATTGTCTCTGCCTGTGCCTTCTTTCTCGCTCTCTGAAGTCAATTCCATAGCCAGCATGGCGCTCCCGCTCTCTCGCTCTCGCTTCGCTCGTGCTCGCTCCCTCCCTCTCGGAGAGAGTGGGCCTATCGTGGCGTCAGAGTGTGGAGTGTGGTGAGTGAAATGTGGAGAGGAACTCCTGGGCCATGGAGCAGAAATTATTATCATCAACAACAACAACAATCAAAAAGCTAATTCAATATGCGAGTGCTAACGCACTCGCAACAAAAACACAAATAATAATTAACCAAATACACCATCAATAACAACTACAGTAGGTTATTTGGGAGAAAGCATAAAGAGGGAGTGTAGTTCAGAGTAGAGTAGGGATTATAGGACAGCGATCAAAAACAACAGATAAATCGCCTCTCTGGCTGCCTCGGACCAGAAGGCAGAAGGGAGACGAGAAAACTAAAGAAACGGAGAGAAAATATAGTAAATAAAATTAATTTACTAGTTATGAATGTAGGCCGCCAAAAGCAGCCAAATATGCATATAATTACATATACATATACTTATAGTTACATATATAATTACATAAATAAATATGCATAATTGCATATGAACATATATGTATACATATATACATATACATAATTACATATATTTACATATATCTATACCCCTCCCCCCCTCTATGGATAACGGACGGCTGACACTGAGGGAAACAAAACAAAACACAAACAAACGCTTCTTTTCTGGCTGCCTCGGACCAGTAGGTAGAGGAAAAGGGAGCAATGACCTAATTATAATGTACCCTATATGAAAACCTAGTAATATGACAATATTTGAATTCCCTAGTGCCTTAATATGGCTAACATTGAAAATTTATAAAAATTCAGGCTTTTGGCTACTTTGAGCCTCCCACTTCTCTTCCCCCACCCTCAGCCAACATATGGTTGCTGGGAAAGGGAATATTTACATTTTTTCACTGCGCCAGCAGAACTGCCGGCAGAGAAGATTTCATGCTGTTCAAAAGTAGTTTTGTTTGCCGCCTACCACTGTTAATTAACAGTAGGTAGACGGTAGTACATGTAATGTTAAGTTACAGCCCCAATAAATTGTATAAATATGCTATGTAGAGTATAAGTACAATAAAGTTATGTTACGTAGAAAGTGGGCTGCCTCCCCTGAACCTGCTGGTTCAGGCCAAGGTCGGAGATGGCTTGCGCTACGTAATGTTAGTTACGTATAGCCTCCGCGCATACGACACATCAAACAACTTGTATACGGCTGATATGCCCATCCCACGCGACCCGAATATGTTGCTGGCGACGTATGCTGACGACACAGCCATTTTAGCCAGAGGATGTACCCAGCGGGTAGCCATCTCGAGTCTGAACTTGTTCCTGTGCAGAGTCTCTGACTGGGCAAAAAAATGGAGCATCACCATCAATGCCTCTAAAACTGTGCATGTTTTCCATACACTCCGAAATACCCTGGAGCCTGGGGTATATTTGTGCCTAACATCGCTGGACAGATACTGGAGACTCCCCTTTCATCCCTATCTTGGAGTTCGCCTTGACTGTAAATTGCAATGTCATCACCACATCACGGCAACTGTCTCTAAAATCAAGGCCAGAGTAAAGAAGCTTCACTGGCTGCTAAACAGCAACAGTAAGCTATGCCTAAATGCAAAGGTTATTCTTTATAAGCAGGTCATCGCACCCATTTGGCAATACACACTGCCTGTTTGGGGTCCCCTTGCCTCTAGTCTTGAGTTTGATCGCCTGCAAGTTGAGCAAAACAAAGCATTGAGGATAATCACTAATGCCCGATGGTATGTTCGCAACGATACCATCCATCGGGACCTGGGCCTTGAGAAGGTGGATGAGGCTTATGCGAAGGTTTGTAAGAGGTATGTTGACCGAATGAGGACGCACCCTAATCGGGAAGCAGCAGCAGTCATCAATGACCCATATGTGCCCCGGAGATTGGCCAGACCTCGGTATTCCGAGTACTTGAGCACTTATTTGCATAGGGAAGTTGAGAGACAGGACTGGAATCGCAGGGTAGTTATACCCTACCAGCGGCCTGAAATGGATCAGCTTGCGAGCGACAGAATAGATGCGTCGAATAGGAGAATGATGCGAGCCATGGGCTATAGAGGGTATGAGGAGCCCGTACCCACCCCTCAGCAAGCGCCACGAAAAGAACTCGAGGCCTGAAACGCGTCTGTACTTGATGCTGCTGAAAATGAAACTGATCTGAGATGAGCGGCAGCTCACAAACGAAACCGCAAGAGACGCGGGGCCGCAGTTGTAAAAAAAAAGACGGCAACAGCAACAACGCCAAATTATCTCATTGAGATAATTGCGCACTCTCCCCCCACACATGCCCATACATACATTCACACATACACACACGATATTCCGTACATACATTTCTCGCTGCCTCGGACCAGAAGGCAGAGAGAATGTAAACAAAGAGCGCAAAAAGCGCAAGAAGGAAGACAAAATATGGAATGACAAAATATGAAAATGGCAAACAACAAATTACTTCTAAATATGCTAATACTTTAAAAATAATTCTTTTCGCTGCTTGGCAGCCAATATTTCTACTTAAATTTAATCAAACTATCTACATATACTACTATTATTAATTCCTATTATTAAGACCTATATTACCCACATATATATATTTCTAAAGTTTTTGAGCCACTTATACTTGATAATGCCCTACTCCCCTCCCCCGATTAGTGGACTGCTGACGGGGCTGAGGGTTTGTTTACACTTGGAATGAATGAGCCGGCTGAGACGCTGGCAGAGGAGATTCCCGCTGCCGAAAGTGGAGTATGCGCTGACTATGGCTGCCAAACTGTGGTCAGCAGGCAGCTGCATACAATAGAGTTAAGTAGAATAGGAGCCCCAATAAATTGTTCATAATGCTGAGCATAGTATTGTATAACAATAAAATCCTTCTTAACGTGACGTAGACTGTCCGCCTCTTTTCGTCTATTGCTATTTGTCATTGTCTTTGTCTTTGTCATTGTATCGTGTCACTCTCTCCCTCCCTCCCTCACGCTTTCTATTTAAATTGATTGTCTCTGCCTGTGCCTTCTTTCTCGCTCTCTGAAGTCAATTCCATAGCCAGCATGGCGCTCCCGCTCTCTCGCTCTCGCTTCGCTCGTGCTCGCTCCCTCCCTCTCGGAGAGAGTGGGCCTATCGTGGCGTCAGAGTGTGGAGTGTGGTGAGTGAAATGTGGAGAGGAACTCCTGGGCCATGGAGCAGAAATTATTATCATCAACAACAACAACAATCAAAAAGCTAATTCAATATGCGAGTGCTAACGCACTCGCAACAAAAACACAAATAATAATTAACCAAATACACCATCAATAACAACTACAGTAGGTTATTTGGGAGAAAGCATAAAGAGGGAGTGTAGTTCAGAGTAGAGTAGGGATTATAGCTATGCATTTAGTGAGATGTAGATATGTAATGGTTTTGACATGATTTGGATATGATTGGCCCCCTTGATCGGAGTTGATTTTCAGCCGTTGCCGTGACTATAGGTGTTTAGCCGGTCGTGTCTGGGCCGTGTGTGTCTGTGTGTGGGCGTGTGTGGGTGTGTGTGTGTGTGTGTGTGTGTGTGTGTGTGTGGTGTGCCGTTTTGCGGAACGGCATCCGCTCGAGGCAGAAGGAATCATCATCATCATCAATCACCACCACCCCCGGTTGGCCCCATGTACATGCCACATGTACATGTGTGAATGTATATTTATATACATACTGAACTCTATAATTGAGGTCTTTGTTTTTGCTCGAGCGCCCGATCGGACGACGATGACGACAGGATGGTGGTGCATTTATTGCAGGATGGGGCCAGGGTTGACAGAGCCGTTTTGCCGTTGGTCGGCCCACATCGATCGATCGATCGATCGTTGCTGCCGCCGCCGCCGCCATGCTTTTTTCCCCTTCACCATTCCATTCCATCCATCCATCCATCGTTTTGATGCGCTGTAAAATGTAAATTCAAAAAGAAAGAAGCACACATGTGTCTAATAAAGGGAGAGCAAAACCAATCCACCACTCAAAAGACAATTATTTCAAACAAATAACATGTAAAACCCTCAATTCGACAAAGAAAAGAGAAGGAAAGAAAGAGCTCATCACAAAATCCAACATCACCACTACGAGACGAATGAAGGAGAAACACGAGAGTCTGCCAACGACTCAGTCAATCTGCGTAAGTACTTTGAGTTGACCGAACCACTTCATTTTCTGTGCGGGTGGGAACAAATTTCCGAACCTGAAAAGAAAAGTAAAATGGAGACGCCAGTATCAGCCCCAGGCCGATCCCGAGCTCCAACTCCAGATCCAGCAGGGGAAACGACGACACCACCTCCAGATGAAAATTCACCGTTGCATCGAGCCCCCATTTTATGGGCCAACCTGCCGACTCAGCATCAGCAGCGGGAGAAGAAAATGCATCAACAGCTCCAACAACTACAGGAGGAGAAACAACAAAAACAGCTACTCCACCAATTTCATCATCAACGGGTACAGTCCCAGCCACATTTACAGGTACAGAGCACTGACGCTGTGTCGCTGACCACAGCTATAGCGGCAGATGCCGCCATTGCCGACGCTTCTATTCCAAACGCTGATGACGCTGATGAGGCCGCCATCATTAATTCCATTCTCGCTCCTCCTCCACCTCCGCAAATTATCGCCCTCTCTTCGGTCCCGTACAGTCGAGAGAGCGGGAGCGAGTTTGAGTCTGAGTCAGAGTTTGAGCGTAAGTACGAGTATGAGAGTGAGAGCGAGGGAGTGAAGGAGAGCCGCTCAGAGAGAGAGTGGCATGGTGAAGAGAGCGATCATGACTCTGACTCTAACATTGAGTCGAATCGGCTTCCCCAACTTTGTCTTCACCTCTACAATGACCACTGCCCGTCCCATCACCGCTGCTGGCAGCTGCGCCAGCGTCGGCAGCAGCAGCAACGGCAGCAGAGTCAGAAATCTCAGCAGCAGCAGCAGCAGCAACATCTTGATGATCATTCTGGCAGAGGTGGGGATGTTCGTGTTCATACAATCATTCCATCGAACACTGTGCAACCAGGTTTGATTGCAACCTCTGCCCCCAATCCAACATCATCATCATCGCCATTGGCTGCAACTGCAGCCTCTACTCCACTTTTAACGTTGACTGCAATTCCAACCAAAATTTCAACTATGGCGCTGCCATTAACGGAGACTTTAGCGATTGCGGCCATGCCGCCGCCTTCACTGTTGTTTTTACCATCATCTTCATCAGTTACAATCGCCACTGATTATTGTATTGGAAATTGCGGAAAAAGCGCCGCCACCGCTACTACCACTACTAATAACGATACTGATGCCATAGCCGCCATTGACCGCTCTCTTGCCGCCACCACCACTACTGCTTTCGCCACTTCTCCTGTCCACACTGTTGCTGAGGACCCAGGAACTGGCATTGATACTGGCAGAGGAAATACCCACGGCGGCATCAGAGACGCTGACTCAGGCATCAGTGCCCCCAATGATGATGCTGCCGTTAAAGTTACTACTACCGTACTAACGACATATTTATCTGCGACAGCGTCTGATGCAACAGCAGATTTATCACCAACAACAACAGAAGCTGCAGCAACAGCAGAAACAACAACATCAAATGCGGCAATCGACGTCACTGCCTCCCATTATCCTGCCAGTGGTGTCAAATGTCAACTTGATCATCAATAGGCTGCGCATTGATCCTCGTGTTGGCAACTTTACCAGCAAGTCCATCGGCTGTAGCGGTATCAGAGGAAGATTTATCACCAACAACAACAGAAGCTGCAGCAACAGCAGAAACAACAACATCAAATGCGGCAATCGACGTCACTGCCTCCCATTATCCTGCCAGTGGTGTCAAATGTCAACTTGATCATCAATAGGCTGCGCATTCATCCTCGTGTTGGCAACTTTACCAGCAAGTCCATCGGCTGTAGCGGTATCAGTATCATTACCTTTGATACTGCCACTCGTAGATCGATCCTCTCCATACTGAATGAAGACCACTGGGAGGAGGTGGACAGTGACGAGGATCTCAACGAAGCTGAATATGACCATGAACGCGAGTGTGGTTCCATCTTGCATCATTTTCACTATTACACGCACCAAGTGCCAGAAGAATGCGGCCTGCGTGTCCTCCTGCATTGTTCCGAACCAGCCAATCCCATAAACAACAGCAGCAGCAATAAAACCTACTCCATACATGAGATCAGGCAGGAGCTGAACAATAGAGGATACAATGTGGCCTTTAGGAGGCTGACCAATGGGCTGAAAAGGCAGCCCCCTGCTAATCTGCCTGTGAGGCGGTTTGTTGAGGACGGAGAGGAGGAGGATGTCGATGACCCGTGGTGTAAGACCACTGAGGAGAAGGCAGAGTCTTTTGCCCTACACCTTGAGCAGAGGTTCAAGCCGCTGCTCAATAACACGGAAGCGGAGAGACAGGACATTGAGGATGAGCTTAATGAGCAGGTTAGGGCCTCTGAGATGAGCCCCATGTTTCGCCCTGTACAGTAGTCTCAATGATCCCTAAGCCTGGCAAGCCAGTGGATAAATTGGCCGCATCAGCTTGCTGTCTGGGCTGTCAAAGCTGTTTGAGCGGCTTCTGCTGACCAGGATGATGGAAGCGGACGGATTTGAGGAGGCGATTCCCAACCACCAGTTTGGGTTCAGGCATGAGCATGCAGCCGAGCAGCAAATTGGAAGGTTGACCAAGTTTACACTGGAGACGTATGAGAAGTATATGTACTGTTCAGCAGTCTATATGGACATTCAGGAGGCATTCGACAGGGTCTGGCACACAGGCCTGAAGCACAAGATGAGACAGTTGCTTCCGACGGCACTATACAGATGCCTCAGCAGCTACCTCGATGGACGAGAATTTATGGTTGTGTGCCCAGGTGGTGTTAGATCTGGAGAGAAACAGGTGATGGCTGGAGTCCCTCAAGGCAGCGTACTGGGGCCTGTTCTATACAACTTGTGTACGGCTGATATGCCCATCCCACGCGACCCGAATATGTTGCTGGCGACGTATGCTGACGACACAGCCATTTTATCCAGAGGTTGTACCCAGCGGGTAGCCATCTCGAGTCTGAATTTGTTTCTGTACAGAGTCTCTGACTGGGCCATAAAATGGGGCATCACCATCAACGCCACCACATAACGGCAACTGTCTCTAAAATCAAGGCTAGAGTAAAGAAGCTTCACTGGCTGCTAAACAGCAACAGTAAGCTATGCCTAAATGCAAAGATTATTCTTTATAAGCAGGTCATCGCACCCTGTTTGGGGTCCCCTTGCCTCTAGTCTTGAGTTTTGTCGCCTACAAACTGAGCAAAACAAAGCGCTACGGACTATCACAAATGCCCCATGGTATGTTCGCAACGATACCATCCATCGGGACCTGGGCCTTGAGAAGGTGGATGAGGCTTATGCGAAGGTTTGTAAGAGGTATGTTGACCGAATGAGGACGCACCCTAATCGGGAAGCAGCAGCAGTCATCAAACCCATATGTGCCCCGGAGATTGGCCAGACCTCGGTATTCCGAGTACTTGAGCACTTATTTGCATAGGGAAGTTGAGAGACAGGAATGGAATCGTAGGATAGTTATACCCTACCAGCGGCCATACACTGAAATGGAGCAGCTTGTGAGCGACAGAATAGATGCGTCGAATAGGAGGGTGATGCGAGCCATGGGCTATAGAGGGTATGAGGAGCCCGTACCCACCCCTCAGCAAGCGCCACGAAAAGAACTCGAGGCCTGAAACGCGTCTGTACTTGATGCTGCTGAAAATGAAACTGATCTGAGATGAGCGGCAGCTACTTGCTTGCGGCTGTTTTTCTTTTTTCTCTTCCTACAGGCACACACAAACGAAACCGCAAGAGACGCGGGGCCGCAGTTGTAAAAAAGAGACGGCAACAGCAACAACGCCAAATTATCTCATTGAGATAATTGCGCACTCTCCCCCACACACATGCCCATACATACATTCACACATACACACACGATATTCCGTACATACATTTCTCGCTGCCTCGGACCAGAAGGCAGAGAGAATGTAACAAAGAGCGCAAAAAGCGCAAGAAGGAAGACAAAATATGGAATGACAAAATATGAAAATGGGAAACAACAAACTACTTCTAAATATGCTAATACTTTAAAAATAATTCTTTTCGCTGCTTGGCAGCCAATATTTCTACTTAAATTTAATCAAACTATCTACATATACTACTATTATTAATTCCTATTATTAAGACCTATATTACCCACATATATATATTTCTAAAGTTTTTGAGCCACTTATACTTGATAATGCCCTACTCCCCTCCCCCGATTAGTGGAATGCTGACGGGGCTGAGGGTTTGTTTATACTTGGAATGAATGAGCCGGCTGAGTATGCGCTGACTATGGCTGCCAAACTGTGGTCAGCAGGCAGCTGCATACAATAGAGTTAAGTAGAATTGCAGCCCCAATAAATTGTTTATAATGCTAAGTACAGTATTACATAACAATAAAATCTTCCTTACCGTGACGTAAACTGACTCCCCTGAACCTGCTGGTTCAGGCCAAGGTCGGAGATGGCTTGCGCTACGTGATGTAAGTTACGTATAGCCACCGCACCGTATAGACACACAAAAAAAATATCGGTCAGCTTTTGTCAGCGAGCAATTGGAATTTTTCGTTTCATATCGGTCGTTTCATTTGGTATTTGTTGGTATTTTTGGTATTTTATAAAAATGTTTTTGGTATTTTTTAGTACACGTGACATGGCTACACTGTTTTTACCCGCCAATTTCAAATTCAAAGTGGCCAGCCCAATGTATACGGCAATTTCTCAAACTAACCTAACTTAGTGCCAGCAGTGGCCGTAGGTTGTCAAGCGGGCGCCCCAGTGCAACCAAATTAAATTGTTTCCACACTGACACCTTCAATACCACCGAAGGGCTTTGCTGGAACTAAAGTATGGTAGTTCCAGAAATCGTCTTTTATACATGGGGGCGTCACTGTGCAAATACAAATGTTTGCATTTCATATCGGTCAGCTTTTTTCAGCCAGCAATTAGAAATTTTCGTTTCATATTCATTGCAGATCCTGAAGAGAGGAGAGAAGTTGAAGAGAAGCTGCTATTGCCCAACATTTCAAGCCAAGATCAACTCAGACCACTCTCTACTAGTGAAGTCCAAGCAGAAATCAAAAAGCTGGAAAATAATAAGGCACCTGATCTTGATCTTGACTGCAATAGGACAATAAAGGCGTTACCAACATCGGCCATTACATACCTTACGATAATCTTCAATTCCTCCCTCCAATTTGCACACTTTCCATCTCCATGGAAATGCGCCAGGTCACGATGATTCCAAAACAAAGAAAGCCTTTTGAACAATTGGAATCCTATCGGTCAAATAGCTTACTCGCAGGATTCTCCAAGCTGCTAGAGCGCCTCATCCTCAGACGACTTTTTGAAGTGGACGCATTTGAAAAAGCAATGCCAAACCATCAATTTGGTTTCAGGAGCGAGCACTTTGCTGAGCAGCAAATTGGACGTGTTACGCAATTCATCCTGGAGAGTCACGAACGCCAGCTGCAAGTGTCAGCGGTGTACATGGACATCCAAGAGGCCTTTGACAGAGTTTGGCATCAGGGTCTCCTCTACAAGCTCAAAAACTTGGTCCCTACACCCCTCTTCCTCTTACTCTCCAGCTACCTCTCAAACAGATCATTCAGAGTGGTCTGCTCTGGAGGCATTTCTTCGGGCGAGAAGAATATCGCTGCCGGAGTCCCGCAGGGCAGTGTCCTGGGCCCTGTGCTGTACAACCTGTACACCTCTGACATACCGCAGCCCCGAGCCAATACCACCAACACCCAGATGATAGCAACATATGCCGATTATGCTGTTTATATGGTTGCTGCTCGTACCCTGTACCAAGCCAAAACTAACATGGAACAGCTCCTAGTTCGCACCCTAGAGTGGTCCAAAAAATGGGGCATAACTACTAACATCAAAAAGACGATTCACGGTACTCCATACGCTCTCTCCACTCCAGAGCGGGACCACTGACATCGTCCTCACAGATGGCTAAGATCCAGGTCATTCAGAACAAGTCGCTGTGCGGCAAAGTTAACGCCCCATGGTATGTTCGCAACAGCGTTATCCACGCAGATCTCCAGATTCCCACTGTGGAAGAAACTTACAATAAACTCTGCGGAAGCTACTACACAAGACTGTCGAGGCATAGCAACCACCTTGCCAGGAACAAGGCACTCCTACCATACGCACCAAGGAGGCTATCCCTGTCTAGGCAAAGATACTCTTCGATGATGGCACGGCACAACGCCAACGACCTCAACAATCTGGCTAGAGTTCAGGCTACAGCGCTGCAAGCTCGCCGTGACAGCTACCTGGCCAATCCATTCCCCACATAAGTTGCGCTTAGCAACACCAACACCACAGCGACGATGATCAGCAGCACCAATCCAGAGATTCCAGCTGCGTCGGCTCCAGCTACTAATCAAAATTTTCCAATTTAATT